CTTGAATGTCTACTTACCCTTCAGGACCTATCAGAAAGACACTTCTTTGAGGAAGCCTTCTCTAATCACTACTACCCTTGTTCCCCCACACTCTCAACCAGGCAGTGGAAAGAATTTTGAAGTCACACTCACAGGCCCCGACTCAAATTCAGGCTTTTTTTTCACATGTTAGTGACTTTGGGCAAGTGATTTCATTCTGTACCTCAGTGTCCTCATCTATGACATCAAAGGGTGGCCTTGAAGATGAAATGGGCCAGCACTGGGTATATTAGTCTATTTCTGTTGCTTATAACAAAATACATGGATCTGGGTAATTTATAAAGAAAACGAAATTTATTTCTTATAGTTTCAGAGGCTGGGAAGTCCAAAGTCCAGGGAACACAACTGGTGAAGGCTTTGGTGCGAGCAGCAGTGACCCAGGGGTGTCACATGGCATAAAATGGCAGAGCAGAGAGAGACTAACGTCTCGTGTTCTCTTCTTTTAAAGCCCTGTGAACCATACCGCTGACCACCATTTTTAATGCCTTCACTACAACATGGTCCTAACAGTCTAATCGCCTATTCAAGGACCCACCCTCTTAACAGTCCAGTGGGGCCCAAGTGTTTAATACATAAAGCATGGGGGACACAATTCAAGCTTCAATGAGTTTGGTGAGAGAGACACTCAATCCACTACAAGTAATTGTTTAATGTCAGGACTCCCTTCATGGAATATATTAGTCAATAAATTCTAAAAGTTTAGTGTTAGTTTAGGATGGGGGAGATTGTTGGGAAATATATTTGTTAATAAATTTTGCTGTGGAAAGAATAGGAACTAACAAAAATTGTCTTTATCACCAGGAGAGTCAAAATGAAAAATGATGTGTGCTATTTACATGAGACCCATATCTAATGAATAAAGATTCAGAAAGTGTGAAAGTCAAAGGGTGGGAAAAAAATATATACTAGGAAAATAACCCAAAGAAGTCTTAAGTTTAGCTACATTAATCACCAGGTAAAATAGATTTTGATCAAAAAGCACTGAGAAATAAAGTATGTCACCACAAATGAAAAAGAAATAAGCAGCATAATAAAACAATTCTAAACTTGGATGCACCTAATAACGTAGCCTTAAAAGAAATAAAGCCAAAGTTAACAAAATGACAAGAAA